ATGTATGCTATACGAAGTTATTACGAATAAAGCGTAAATCGCCATTAAAACTGGTGGATCGTGCTGTGAATATCTTAAAGCTCAGCGAGGAAGGAAATGATTTCGCGAAGATAATTCCGCTGGCTCCAGATTATCGCCTAATTAATGGCGCTATTGCATCCGTTCTTGCCGTGGAAACTGGCGAAATACACGCCGAGCGCCGTCAACGAGAGCGCAACCTTTGCTCCACCTGCGGCGCATAATTGTGGAATCGCGGGAGTTGCACGGAGGATCCCGAGATTGCGGAGCGACGGCTCGGCGCATGATCTCCGCTTGAGCTAATTAATCCGCGATGTGTACGAATAACCGGTTTCCGTCGCGGCGAGGACATGCGAGAACAAACAAGAATTCATCGCGGCGATAATCGCGTCTCGGAGCTGCAAAACATGCGAGAGCGCCGGAAGTGGTCCACCTTCACTTTCCTCATTCTAGCTCATTTAAGCGTCATAAAAAAATTGACGGAAATTAATTACATTGCTATAAGAGGCGACGCGACTTCCTCGCCCTAATAGCTATGGCTAATGACCAAGATTAGTTTGCCTGAAAAGGTTTCCGTGGGAGCATTACAGTCGGTTTAATTCTGAAAGGGGATGTAATAATTAACCTCCTTTCTACCTCTCGAGTGTACGTCGTTCATTGTTTAAAGATCCCTTACTGCGGCTTAAGTAAAACTGTCGGTCTCTTAAAATCACATGTTATTCAACTCTAGCTATTAGAGCGCCAGTTTTAGCACCACTTACTGCGAGTATGGTTGCACAGAATCCATCATTTTGGCCATAATTTCCGCTTTGTTTGAACTTTCGAGGAGGTAAACAATGCAGAAGAGAAAATTCCTATCGGAATTTCGTTGGATAACCAACGCTGCGTTAGCGAATATCGTTCGCGGGTGAATATCGACGCGAAGCAACGATGTGGCTGGTCGCGAACAAGAATGTACGTTCCGATCGCGCCGCACGGTAGTCGTCGACTTATCTCCCCGGATTAATCGAAAACGCGCGCGGCTTTCGCCGCTGCAAAAAGCCGCTGAATTATTTTCGCGTAATTCCCAACGAGGTCTCGCCCTGCACACTCATAGATTCTCCCGCGCGTCCCGCGGACAACCCGCTCGGCCTGTTCCGACGCGCCAGTGCCCAGTCGAATTATTAATACCGACGACCGAGGCTTCGGGTTTGACCCCGCCGGCCTTCGATTAAACCAGCAACCCCCCCGAAGTCGCGCGAAGCCCGTCGCATAAATATCATCCCACTCGATTCCGCGCGAGAACCGCGGCGGAATATATCGTCCCGCGATTTCTCATCGCAGCTGGAAGCACGATTTCCACCTGGCCGCGGATAAATTATGTCGAAAATAATTTGCCCGTACGTTTTCCGCGCAGCTCACTCCGGTCGGCTCGACGATCTTCAAGAATGTGGATGCGACCGACGCGGACGTCGGTGTGAACGGGATCGTCGAGTACTCGATCGCGCCCGGCGACAGCAGCAAGATTGGCAGCAACGGCCAATTCTCGGGTGTCGGACGTGACAGGATCACCACCGCTGACGGATACGGCTACTTCAGCATCAACTTGCCGCACCAGGGACAAGTCACGGTCAACCGCACGCTCGACTACGAGAGGACTCAGCGCTATCTCGTCACCATCTTGGCCTCGGTGAGTCTCGACTTTATCTACTTTAATTGATCGCAGCTGCCGGAATTGTAAATGGGCTGAAGCAGATCAGAAACAGTGATAGTGATGTAGGTGTTGATAATGACGTAGAGCTTGCACTTGCAGTAAGATTATCAGTTAATGCAATTGTCTCAAAAGGAATGACGATATTAAAAGATTCTTTTTGAGCAAAGAAACAAGGCTCAATCATTTTCTCACAACAAATATAATTTATCTTGACCGATTAGCTATTTTGCGGCTGTAAAAAATGAGTATTTTTTATTTTATTACGAATATTTCTATTGATTAAATTTTTTGCTGCGCGCCAATCGATTTTAGCTTATCTTGTAAACTGTCAGCTACGTTTTCTAATATACCGTTGCATTACACACCTTATCTATTTGAGCATAATAATCGAGCGTAATGAGTACTGGCCAGTGATATGTTTCGCTATGCGACATCGAAGTAGAAACCTGTACGACAACCGTGGAAAATTCTTGCACGAATAATGACGAGCTAACGGTGGTCGGCTAATGGCACGCATGCCTAGCGAATTATTGCGTGGCATTTTCAAGTAGATCGGGTTCGGACTAAGAAACTTTACACTGTAGTTACACTACAGGCGCAATAACAGTTTTGAGCTAAGAATAACAGCAATATATTTTATTTCGGTCCATATTCTGGTGTCAAAATTGCACCTTTATTGTTTTCAAAGTTTAGTGATGTTAATCGGTTGTAAACGTGCGTGTTTGTTTAATTTAATACACCACGAATGGAAAGAAACGAGCCGGCGGAAAGATGTGGGATGGTCAATGGTCAGCTTGTGTAGGCAGAGAAATAAGGACAGCATAAGGGACCGACCGATGAGTCACAACAACTAGTATCCGACGGTCGGAAAACCATATTCACATTAGCATATCGCGCCTCTTTACACGCGGTTTCTTGTCCGCTTGATTGCTATTAGTTCAGACCCCGAGGGTCCGCTCGATTCGAAACGTGTTCGAGTCTCTCCTCTCGTGACATTTCTTCACGCGAATTCTTTTATCTCGTGTAGTGCAAAAACTTGTCTCAGAAGATACAAGATATTCCTAAAAAAGATGTCAGACAATTTATCGCTTGATCGATCAGCGGTTTCTTTTTAAGATTTAATCAATTATAAAGTATTTTCGTTTCTTCATAGTTTTTCTCAACTTTTATCATTAATAACAATTAAATTCTGCTTGATTTTGTTGGAATATTTGCGTGAAATGTTTGTAAATTTATAGCAGGAAACTTTAGTAAGAAAGTATTGATTTTATCGGTACTTGTAATGTCATGTGCGATATAATTTTAGCTCTCTTGGTTGTCTGTTTGCGAGAAAAAGAGTCGACAAATGGAATATATGTATTCTTGAATTCGTGCATTTGTACTATGAAGGAACGTCTCACCGTAATTCACGTGCGAACATATCGTAATAATTTCGAAGACTCGGACGTTGGCGCGCTTGCATAGATAATTATACGTGAGACGCGTACGCTTCGTTACATACATACGATCCTCGTACGAAACACGTCCTCTGCGTGCTCTATCGCAGATTAGAAACTGATATACGTACAAGCTCGTAGGCATTCACTAAACGGTATTACAACCCGACGGCAACGGCACCACGCTGGTCAGGTAGATGCGTGTTCGCCCTTTTTCACGTCTAATGATTTTAATAGTACTAATCGATTCTACGGTTTCGCACAAGTGCGCAAACAGCACACGGCGGACAAGCCGTTAATTACAGTTACGCGTCCGGCTCAGATAATCAATGTCTAAATAATTAATTACTTCTATCAATTGCATATCTAAACGCGTGTCGCATGTGGAAGTGTTTTGAAACCCGTGTAAAGGTATGCGAATGTTGCAGATAATAAAAGAAAATATGCGACTTGTGTGATTATAACAGTGTTCCAGTTTCTGCATTCCTTCATATATTTGCCGATTCTTTTATCAATCTGAAATAAGTAATTCTATCTTTAAAAAAATATTATATATGTAATATTGAAAAACTCTCAGTTGTAATTTAAAAATTCGAGCATATCCGTAAATTAAGAGGAAAAATAAAAATAATAATTTACTTTTTATTCAGTAGCATTTTGGACGAAGAAAGAATTTCGTTGCTCAAAAACTTCGTAGATAAAAGCAAGCATGGCAAACATGATGTACAGTGCAATCGTTAAACTACGTGCAATAGCTGTTCGATACATTGAGATTCGAGCCAATCGGCGAAGATAGAATTGGATAACAACTCGACGTTGATGCGAAAGGGATGGAGCTTATTACAGTACAGAGTTCTCGCGCGGTCAAAGCGCGCGCAAACGAAATAACGAAAGAATCGCGTGTAACGGTAACACCGGAACACGGAACAACAATCTTTCTATTTGATACGCGCACGTATCGCTCGCGGTACCGTAAGGCATTAACCGTTCGGTACACTTGCCCGTCAGATTAGAGACCGCCGATTGCCGGAACCGTGCTTGTAGCTATTTGCATATCGCTTCTGCCAAACTCAGACATTATTCGGTCCGTACAGACACGCAGCTCGCTACTGCGGTTTAGAACCGAATTGCGCTTCCGGCGCGCTGCGATCGACATCGTGACCCTTATCGGTCGTCTTTGCCGCAACTCTCGGACTTTCTGCTGGCAAAAACTTTCAGATTGGAATGTCCCGGAGATTATATCACATCCACGTATACTTATTCATTAGATTGACGTGTCTAATTAATAATTACTATGATTTCTAATGTGAAAAACTAAATGCAACAATCATTGCAAACATTAAGCTTCAGAATAATCTGAAATATCATTAATGACTCACAGATAAATTTATTTTATCTTGCAAAACTCTGAACGAGAGTTTCTAAAGAAAGCAGTTCCGATGAAGCGGTGAATTATAGTTGAAAGTATGAAAAAAAAATTAAAATAAAGATAAATTATAGAAAGAGTAAAAGATGTAAGACATAGATCGATTTAACGATAATTTAACAGAAGCGAATACGGTGCAGCCGTTAATAGTCTGCTCATAATCTCGTCTTATGCGAGTGAAAGGAAAAGATGTGCTCATTAGAGAATATCGCATATTCACTAAACACCTACGCTATTATGGCGCGAGATTGTTCGATCGCCGTGACGAATCGTTATAGTGTGAGCGCAGCGACGATCGCGCAATGCAACGTAACGTGCTACCTACGTCCGACGCATGTATGCGTACGCTTAATATGATAATATAATCAGGAAGCGGTATAAAATGTCAAATCCACTATAGTGCGCCACGGAACAATACTTAATAACTGTACAATAAGCATCGTCTATTTATTCGTATGACGATACTTATCCAGCCGCGATTATTGTTACGCTCGGTGGTCGTGTGTTCGTGTTGAGAATTATTCTCTACACGAGTACTTATTCGCGTACCAGCGACTCTGTGAAACGAAACAGTCGATAAGTTACTTCTAATGTATGGGCGCACGGTGAAAATTTCCTATCAGATAAAACTGCAAGTGCATCGGCCGCGACGTAATTTCCTGCACGTTTTTATTTGCATCAGGCAAGCATGCGTTTCGTTGTTATGTTAACACATGGAATAGCTTAGACGCCTACAAGAGTTATGGTCAATGGCTATTTCGGTTCAAGTGCGCTCAGCTTCAAAATTAAATTTTTTCCTTTGAATTTTGTTATATTGCGCCATAGGTTTTTAATATACTTTACAATATTGCATTATATTTTTTGATTTTAATTTCCAAAATTTTAATTAATTAATTAATTAAATTTTTAAAATAATTAAATGTACAACGAGGACTGTTATTCAAGGCATGAATAATCAAAATGTACCTACACGTAACAAAAATAGCGGCGATTTTTTTATACTGATCGAGAAAAACTAGAAATATGAAGTCGGCCAATCGCTCTCGAAAAGTGTCGTCTTTTCTTCGCGCCACGTGCTAATATCTTTGCCGATTAGCACCCTTGCTCGTCCTCAATCTTATCTATGAGCGTGACACAGTTTCGCGTAAGTGTAGTCGCTGTCGATTGTAGGCCCGGCGAACAAAGAAAATTACGCGCCACCTGGTAAGTATCCGCGAGCAGGACGACGCAAAGTGGGCAGTGGGTACGGACGCGACTTATATGCAGCGGTGCGTGTTGCACGTGAGCGAGCAGTACGTGAGCGAGGTAGGAGAACCGCGACTTACCGGCATTAGTCACCGTTCGGCTCGCGAGCGTGTAGCGCAAGCACGGAATTTCGATTTCCCTGGTATGCCGTGCCGACGTGGCCGATTCCGCGTGTAACGCGTGCGGCGAATCCTTCCGTCGTGGATGATCGCGAGATGGAAAATAGTATGATCGCACGCCGACCGATCGAACATGATGTATGAAGATCGCGGAATATCGATGGTGTATCCATTTCGAATGCGCGACGCATGAATTTCTTCGATTGTGCCGTGTCAGCGTGCAGCTCCGACGTTCGGCGAAATCGCGCGATCGTGAAAGACGGACGGACTTCTTTCGAGCATTGTTATGAGTTGTTGAACACGCGAGAGAGAAGTATATGAATCCGAATCGACATGTTTGTTGCGACGTTACGTCTGTCCGGCATTACGTAACGTCGTTTCGCAGAATTCTCTTTCACTGTCATTCGCGAGGAATAATCCATCTCTCACCGTAATTAAAATTTAAATATAACGTCGTGAAATTAATACGCCTGATTAATAGAGAGATGTGATCCGTTATCATGTTATTGAAAGATTTTTTGTTTAATTCCGAGCTCTATGAGCGTTCATTGGCAGAACGAAAGTTGTACAAAATAATACCCGCGGCGTGTATTACGCGGCAATAACGGTCCGCTCGGATTCTTTCGTTCAAGTCCACAGAGAGATTAATAATAACACGCGTTAGGAAGAGCTCTGTGGACGTTTGTCAAACGAACGGTATTAAAACGCAGTTGCGAGAAGACACTTCCTAGGGGGAAAACGTGAGTGCGTTGGTATTAGCGTGGGTGAAGAAATCCTCAATAAATCTGGAGCGAGCGATGGCATAAATAAATATAAAGGAAAATCAATACTTGAATTTCATCATTTTATCATTGGAATTTATATTATATTTCGTATTATTTTTACTTATATTTCAACTCCATAACGAATAATAAATACAACGGCGAAAAATCTAGCCAAAATATTGATCGAGGAGCAAAAAGTTAATAATTAAGCGTTGAATTGGTGATTCGCGATTATAAAGATGTACAGTAAAATAAATAAGTTGTTACGTACGTTGAAGCGCAATAAACGGTGGTTTGCACGAAAGGAAGCGAGCGACTTCCGGAACATCTCGTATATGTAATCCATCGCGAAGGAGAACGCGCGTCGCGAAACGCTGATTACAGATCGGTCGCTTCCGCCTTCAGCAGCGGCGATATCGGTGCAACTTTGTCGCAATAAGACATTAATACCGAAAGGAATAAGATTTCGCAAAAGATTTCCTGTGAAATTTTATACGCGCGATCGGCGACGGTAGCGATTTTATCGGCACGGGAAAAAGCGGTCGGCGTATGCAGATCGCGCGGCAAAGTGCAGCCGGTGTTTCCGGAGAACCCGCGGGCGTTGATTTCGCAGCCGATTCGCATGATCGGCTTTGCGCGAAAACGCGGATAAAACAGCGACAACGAAGCCACCGACGCGAACGAAGATTCCATGACGTAATATTCCGCGCCGTTGGTTTCCGATACTGATGTAAATGATCTGGCGTTATGTAAAGCTCTCTGCCGACCGCGATGACGCCGACGTTTACCGCGTTGAAACATAGCGGGATAAGTTGATCGCACCGATGACTCTCCCGAAATAGCTTAAATTAATTCTTTTCGTTTCGTCGCACAATATGCGGTTTCAAAATGACTCGTCGCTGTTCGATATTCTCTGTTTGTAAAGCTTTCAATAATGAAAGATGCACTGAAATATCGCAGAGAATAGCGGGAAAAATATGACGACGAGGATATGAGAGTATGTTGGCGGTCTTTTTATCAATAATTTCAAGGTTTTCCCAAGAAAACTGCTGCAGATATAAAATCGGGTAAAAAAAGTTTGTGACCTCTTAAATGTAACATATTTAATTTACGTAATAAAACGGTTTAATATTACGAACAGTCATCGAACTGCAACACGTATTATTAAAAACACTTAATCGTTAATTTCTCGATTATCCGGCGTTCGCTTAATATAAATTGAAACCAGTCGAGAAGGTATGTCGTTCGACCGATTAAAAGACGCATGATTTATGTGGCACCATAGGAATGTCGTAACTTAACGAGCACAGTTAACGGCGTGCGCGTGCTAAGGATCCTATGAACAGCCAGCGTATCGGCGTAGGAATTGCTGTTTGTATGTGGGACGACAGCAAGGGACACACCTTATCGTACTTTATTATGTGCTGATCCTTAGAATTCCTGGGACGCGGACTCTGAGTATATTTCGCGACATACAATTGCCGAAAAAGTCCTCTTGTCTACCTGGACGTTTTTAGACCGCTTCTCGGCGACGCGCCTTTTAATGAGGGTCCAAGGACGTATATGGGATCGGATTCGAGACGCATCATCGACAATATTCTGACTCGTCGTAAAGCCGACAATGGAACTTTTCAGTCCGATAAAAGCATTTCTGGCTGTCGCTTTAATACGCGTCAGTCAGAGCGTCGGTGACAGCATGGGCGATGGCGTTGGCAATTTGTCAACGGTGAGTGAATCGTTTTGAGCGCTTAGAATACACACGAATCAGCTCCATTGTCGCGTTTATTATTCAACATTTATTACCTCGTGAAATTGGACCAAAATTTTTAATTGCTCATCATTTTGCTCATATTTAAATTCCGATAATTTGAGAGAATATTTTCTCCTCTTATCTCCGCTTTAATTATGTAATATTGATATAACGTGTAATTTCCAAATTGTTATACAAACACTTGACCCGAAGTTTCTCCACTGCATTTTTGTTAATTTAGATTTTATTTTATTTAATTAGTTTTTATTTAATTAAATGTGTGTGCGTGTGCGAATTTGTTAATTTGCAGCTTTAGCAGTATTTTCGACTTTTCCCGATATGTTGCTTGTTCAAATAGTATTTTCAGCAAGTTTTTTACGACAGAAAATCGAAAAGTAAAGTACTTTTTTAAAGATTTTGATTTTTTAAACGTTTCTCTATTTTTGAACTTATCTTGATAGTACTGCTAATTATAGCCGAAAGCAGTTCCGCCGTAAGGAGTTTTAAACTTCGCTAGGGCAGGTTCTGATTAGATCGTAATAAATATTTTCCTTAGGCTAAAATGAAACGAGAACTTTCTTTTTCTTGCGAAAGGTCTTTCGCGAGGCTCTTATACGCATAAGGGTTTTTCGCTAAGGCACAATAGATGCTTTCCATCCTGGAACCTCGTTAGTTTTAGAGCCGCCTCTGGTCATAGCTCCTTGTAAGCGATCAGTTAACCGTCACTTTAAGCGATCTCTTCTTGGAATCGATTCTATTAAGTTATTATGCTGTTGCTGTTATCACGCTGCATTGTGCTGTTATATAGACTCGTAATGCTTTCAGTTTTATTATTCAGAAAAAAATGGAGGCGTGTAAAATAATAATATGCGATGGAATTTCGATTCAACGATTGTCGAAAAATTACTAAATTTTATAAAATTCTGTTATGTCAGCCACGATACAATTTTCTTTCATGATTCGGCTATTTATCGAACGTACGCAGTGGGCTACTTCACTCGAGGATATTTCCTAGGCTATTATCGCCGCGACGCTTTTTGCTAGAATCTAATTCACAGCAGCACCTGTATTTAATACGGAACATTATCCGGGACTGAAGAACTGCGCGCAGGCCGGAGCTTCATCACGCCCGTAATAGACTTCGGACTCCGGAACATTATACTTCGGAGCATTACCGCGTCGCTATGCTTACGAGCGCATCCGAGAGATGCCTATCCATTTGCACAAACACTGCTGCCTACGCCGCCGTCATCGTCGTCGTCGTCATCGTCGTCGCTGCAATTTCGTGCACGCTCGAAATTGCGCGAGCGACCATGCGCAATCGAACGTCGGTGGAAAAGTGCAATTGAATCTCGACGGTGCGCATCGTCCCGTCGGCAACACGAGATGTCATTAAACGATCCCCGCTGCGGGCAGCATTCTCGTAAGCGAGACGAAATGAAAAAGGCGGATGGATGCACCGACGCCCATTATTACTATTGGCATACGGCGGGGATATAGCCCTGGCCTTCATGCTCGCACCGTGGTCAAGGGTAATAGCTATATCCCAAGCCGCGCTCGGGCTCTCGCGTTTCCCGCCGGCCCCACGAGATAAATCGGGCACGGTCTCGCATAATCGCGGCGAATCTGCCCGACGCCGGGGACGCGATCGATCTCCCTCGATTCGGATTAAGCCGCGCTCTCGGCAGCGCTCTCGCTCCGCGCTGCAGCAGGTGCGGCTCATTTGAATATTATGTGGAACAAATGACCGACTTCTGCTCTCGAACGCTGCTCCTTTTAGCGAGGCGAGGCGCGCTCAGCCGCGAGGGATAACGTTCCGCGTCGGTGCTTTGAATATATGGACGGAATATGATGATTCATATATAGAGTTAACGTTCTCATTAAACATTTTATTAACATTGTGTTAAGCGTGAAGCTCTTGTGAAATGTTAAACGAAAAGGATTGTATGAAAGTGGCAACATAATGAAATAATATCAAAATTATACTCTTGGTTATCTTGAAAAGCTTATCATAAAATCTCAAGCTCAAGAGATATCAAAGCAGGAAGATTTTATTTTAGAGTATCTTCTTTAATAAACTGTAATAAGTTGTAAATGAACAAAGGCGCGGCTTTATTAAAAAGTGAAATTTATGGGGTCTTTTGCTTGCCGGGAAAGACATTGCATACATTATTACGGCTAATTACATCGTAATCTGTAGTTTATAAGTCGCAATATCCTCTCTAAAATTTATGTTTTATGCGGTACTTTTGTAAATTTTTCGACCTCACGTTCCTACCAGCATAAAGAAAGTTACTAACGGGAGATTTTTATTGGGAGTGCTTCGTAAGTAGTTCAGGCTCGTTATTACATAAATAAGGTCACGAAAGAGGATGGAAGACCAGGCGAAAGAGATAGAGCTTCTCCCAGGGCGACTGGTGGAACTGGTACCAAACCGTAGTGTGAGGACGTAAAAAAGAAAACGGATATTTGTTCTTTTTCGTTCGCGTAGCGACTATTGAAGATGTCAATATGATCGTGACGCATCGAAATCGCAAGATTAATGGCGTACTATCGCTATCGTGTGTCAACCGAGTTTTTATTTATAAGCTGCAAAAAAAATGGGCGAATATATTTTTATTGATATTTTATTGCGCCTTCTGTCCGGTGAAATCAGCAGATAAATATGATATAGAATAAGTGGCTGTGCTAATAAAAGCATATACGCAATGAGGAAATATCGCAGCTAATTATTCAAAGGATTAAGAATTATTTTTTACGAATAATAAAAATTGCAATAAAATACTATCAGTTGCACGATAAGTAAATCTGATTGCACAACCGTAACACGAATTTATAATAAAACGTGCTAAAATAATTTTTACTCAACGAATACTAGATATGTTAAAGAAACATGAGATGCAAAATATAAAATTTGTTCGTTGCTCGTAGCTGAAATCTTTGATGTTATTTGAAATGTCAATTTGCATTTATCGTATGACTTGTCGCTCTACGTTGCAAATTATTTGTTTACAGGACCGAGCGAGGAACGTTTCCGAGAGATTCACGTCCACGACCACATTGACGGTGAACATCCGGGACGATGACGATCAAGATCCATCCTTTATTTACCAAGGCTGTATGCTTTCAGACGGCGCTTGCATTAATCCGGAATACTCCACATCGGTGCGTAAATTGTATTGGCTATAAGCCAATCGCGATTCCAGTACGGGCGTATTAATGGCGGGATTTATTTTAATCAGCCTTGCCGTTTGATTTTTATAGAATCGGAAAACTTTAAGCACATTTGAATACACACGCCTAATCAACCGTCGATATCTCACCGCTCAAATTCACACAGACTGCCAATAAATCGTGCAACCGGTTTTATAACGGGCGATTTTCTCTTTTTTCTTCATTAGGTATCGAGCGGAGTTCTATCTGGCATACTCAATATCTCGCCTGAGAAAATACAGGCAGTCGATATGGACAGCATAAACGCGCCGATTCATTATTCCTTCCTCAGCGGAAATCCGCCGAATTACCGGGATTTCTTCGAGATCAATCCTCAGACCGGGGCGGTTAGGCAAATCAGAGCCGTCGATACGACGGTAACGAAAAAATTCGAGACTATCATTAAAGTAAGTATCAGCGTCGTGTTTCTGCGCCACGTGTATGTTAAAAAGATGTTGAAATAAATGAGAAATATTAAATATGAATAAACTTGGAAACGTTATTCATAAATTTGTGTTATTAACTAATTGTGTTGTATTATTCTTAATGAGGATAGCACAAAACTCACTTTTTTAAAATGTAAACGCTATGTTTTACTCTTTAAAGTTTGAGCACTGCATGGTAGCATTGGTGTTTATTTTTTTTTTTTTCAAGGCGGTCGAAGTATCAGAGGCCAAACGCTCGACCACTGCCAAATTAGCAATCACCGTCAAGCCGGTTGATAGCAATCCACCTGTTATAACGGCTTCGAGCATCGAAGGTTTCGTCGACGAGAACGCGCCGATTGGTACAAAGGTCATCGATGCAAGTGGGAATCCCATTGTGCTCATTGTGTCGGATGCTGATCTGGTGAGTCCCGACTCTGCAGATTCTATCGCTTTCCACTTAACGAAGCGTGACCGAGGTGTGAATCGGCCCGTTTAATTTCCCTCATTATTAACGGACAAAATCCGGTCGCGTCGGTAGAACTATTGTAAACGGATTAGTTGCGTTTCCCCGATTCTACTTTCTTGTTCACAAAATTCGTGTCGTATCCAGGGACCGGACGATCCAAAGCCGGCATACACCTTCGAGTTGACCACGACCTTTTTCGCGATCGATCCTTCCGGCGTTCTCGTCGTGGACGAGGAGAATCTGGACCGAGATCCACCGAGTCCCGGCCGCTTCCGCTTCCAGGTGGTCGCCCCGGGAGAAAACGGGTGTGGCCGCGTCGTCACCTCTGTCGTTCGTCGTGACATTGAACGATGTTAACGACAATGCGCCTATGCTCCCTATGATGGCACCCATCACCGTTCAAGCGGGCGAAACGAAGAGACAAATAACAAAGGTGGCTCCTCATTCTGTACTTTAATTGCGTAATAATGGCTCGCAATTGTAATTCAGTTTCACTTTTTGGTCCTTACCTTCCTTTTGTTATTTTTTTTTTTGTTAATTATTATTGATTATTGCTTATCAACGTTCCATAATTTCCAAAACTGCGAGCCATAGAGATTCCAAGAGGGGAAGATTAATTAATTGCGGATCTCGCACAGGTGGAAGCCACAGACAACGACGAGGGAGAAAACGCTGAAATAACGTATAGTATCTATCACGTATCGAACAACGGTTTGCATAAATTTAAGATAGATCCGAAGACCGGAGTGATCGAGTCGGTGAGAAAATTGAATGCTGGCGAGCAATACAGCATCACCGTGCAGGCTACTGATAAAGGTGGCAAGTATTCACAGACAATTGTCGAGGTGAATGTCATTCCTGGGCCGAATACCAGGAGCCCGGTGTTCCAGCAGCCGGTGTACGAAGTGCAAGTCAGCGAGGGAGCCTCCATAAATTCCACAGTCGCCACTATCACTGTGAGTATCACTGATGATGTCTGATTCGGTTTAAGATTTATCTCCAACTTTCGCAATTCTGATAGTCGATATTTGTCTAAATCATTCACCTCGTTCAATTTGCACGCCCACTTATTGTGAACTGTGATTATTAAATTAATCCCAAATAATGTAAAACATTTGATATTTTATTCGCATAAAGAAATGTGTGAAAAGGATGTTTAAAACTTGCATCCTGTGTAGCGTTTGATTTTTTTTGTAAAATAAATTTCCTTTTCTCTTATTTAATTCTATAATTAATGATACGATTATTTTTAGATATAATGCTTACACAATGCTTATATAATGCTTTGCAATCGATAGAATTTATATCTTATTTTAAAATAAGAATGTATCGTGTCTTGAAAACAACAGATCTTTAAAAACTTATTATAGCTGCAGGGTTATTAATCGATGTTACAGGCCATCGACCCAGAAAATGATCCGGTGTCGTACTCGATAGTATCGGGGAATGACTTGCGCCAGTTTGCGATCGGCGACAAATCGGGCGTTATTACCGTTATAAGGAAGCTGGATAGGGAGGACCTGACCCGATATCAGTTGGTAAGCCGATATCGTCAACCACTCGAGCATCGTAACACAAACTTCCTACATTCTCTACTACAAGCCTATGCACTTCTCGCTTTACGCTTTCTATCGACAGCTTTTATCTAATCTATAGGACTGTCCCTCCCTTTGCAAACGAGTAGCCATTCAAGCGCGTCCTGAAGTTTAAGCAAATTTGTTTATACATTCTACATACATTCTTTTCGAAATATATTACACAGTTTTGATAAAAAAAAGTATGGTTAAAATAAAAATTTATTGACTCAAAGTATTATCGCCAAAAGAGCTAAATATAAATTGTGCTTTGTTAAAATTGAAAATCGATAGCGTGCAATATTACGTAATATTATGCAATATTATTTTTGGCTCGTACAGCTGATAAAAGCCGAGGACACCGGCGGGCTCTACAGCACCGCAACGGTCAACATTATGGTCACCGACATCAACGATAAGAATCCCGAGTTCGTGGGCCTTCCTTATGAATTTTCCGTCAAGGAGGGCCAAAATCGTACAATGATCGGCCGCGTGCACGCTGAAGACGCTGACGAGGGTATCAATGCCGAGATCACTTACTCCGCGCCCGATGACATTCCTTTTACGGTGGATCCCGATACCGGTGACGTCTTGACAAAGATAGTATTGGACTACGAGCAGAATAATGTGAGTAATTTTCCCTACATTCTGCAACTCGTAAATTTTAATGCAAAATGACAACTACTGCTTATAATAAAATTAATTTAAAAATCATGAGATCTAAATGTTTGCAAAATGATGTTAAATCACAATAAATTGCTTTATACGAAGAGGCAGAAAACTACCAGACAGAAAATACTAAGAAATAGATTTCGTAGAAAATTACAAATATTTAACAATATTCGCGTTCTCCGAGATTCTAAAGGTTAACAGGACTCGCCTTCCATTTGCACTTGTAAAAGAACTGCATTACATGACATGTAGCGTTTAATACCACTCATTATGAATGCAACTATGCTCAATCTCGCATCTTCCGGGAATGCTCTTCCGTTTCACGAAAGTTACAAAGCGTGATTACAACTTGAGAATGTCTAACAGCAAAACAACTTAGTTTATACTTGGATTGCGAGGACGTAGTTACGGTCAAATTGCAATTGTGCTATTGTGCACTGAGACAAAGAGAACGCGTGCCTGTCCGAGTTAAAGTTCGCAGGGTTTCGCAGGATTTTCATTCGCGGAAACGCAACGTCTTAGAACAATACTATAATTCTGCATAATACACACGTGCGCTATAAAAAAAAAAAAACAACTCGATAAGCTGTATAATTCAATAGGCTTCAAACCGCAAAATTAATAAACTTTTTTTTCTAACTTTTGCATTTCTCGGACATGTTAAAATGTATCCAATATTTTTTGTACATTACGTAGGAATACAAATTCGTGGTGACTGCGAAAGATGGAGCACCCGATTATCGTTTGGCAACTGCGACAGTTACAGTGAAAGTCATAGATGTCGAGGACGAGGTTCCTGTCTTTCACCAAAGCAACTACGAGGCGCATGTCAAGGAAAACGTGCCCGATCATAATGTGATTCAAGTTACGGTGAGTCGTGTGTCAAACTAGCAGCAGAGCGCGTGTCTTCGATTAAAAAAAAAAACTATGTAAAGCGCGGCACATAAAAAATTGATTTATCTACTGACATCGATTTCTATGAGCTCAGATTCAATGAGAATCGAAAGTCGTATTACAACATTGATTCCTGACGCGGATGTTTGTTTTAAGATAAGCGGCTTTACTTCCTCGCGCAACGTATCAAGCGCAATATTAGTTTTGAAGTGGATCACATAATAACGTGAGATGTAATTGCATCGGAAATGCCAACGGGATTCGCTCGAGGAGTTTCAAAAGTTTATCGGATAATCGAAATCTACTCGGTCCGAACTTTCAGACTTGAAAGAAATTTGCGTTACTCCCTCGTCGACGAGATGAAACGAATAACGGACTATTCTGACGGGACGGTCGTTTTATTTGCGTCTCAAGCTAACGCGATCATTTCTAGGCCGATGATCCGGACACAAAGAAGCAGATTACATACGTGATCAAGGAAGGGGATACTAAGCTCTTCCGCATAGATCAAAAGACCGGAGTTATACAAACTATCCGCGGTCTCAATTACGAAAACCAGAACCAGCATGTTCTTATAGTGGGCACCAAAGAAAACACCAGCGACTTGCCAGGTTCCACCACCCGCGTCGTTATAAACGTCGAGGTATTTCCCATAAATAAAACTCGATCTTTACTTTATGAAAATCGTTGATACTCGTCATTAATTATTCATTGCCGCCATGTAACACATATGAACGCACTTTCACGAAACTGATTATCATATAATTATAGAGAGAGCTAAACTATCACCGAGATTTTTATCTGTCGCTCTTAATGAGCAGAAAAACACTCTTAATGACATATTTTCTTATAATCAATAATTTAGAAAACTTGTTCTAAATAATTAATAAATAAATTAATAATAGATAAATAAATAATAAATTTATTCTAATTCGAGTGGATCGCCATATTTTTTTTTTTTTTTGTATTTGTTATCTGGCACAAAAAATTCTAGTTGAAAAAACATTAAAACGGGATTGTTTATCTGCTGTGGGATTTAATCCAGTTGAGAATCAGTTTACGGAACCGGTTCGCATTGCACGCATTAACATCATAATCGGCGTCCGTCCTATCATTTATCGCGCTTCGATTACTTTTAACTTTTAGTTTAAGCATACTTTATTACACGGCTGTTAATAATGTATTAAACGCATGGCGGTAGGACGTGAACGACATTCCACCGGTATTTACGTCGGTACCGCATCCCATTACGCTGGACGACGATGTCCCCATAGGAACTACCGTCATCCATCTCATGGCTGCGGATTCCGATGGCACCGCGCCGGGAAATCAGGTATGAGAGTGTATATATCGCTTCTCTCGTATGTCTTAATCTTTTCTCATTAAATCGCGGAGGAGTGATTTTCATCGAGAGCTCGGTATCCGCAGGTTCGATACGAGATCATCGGTCGCGGTATCGCCAGCAAGTACTTCGTAATCAACTCCGACACCGGAGTGCTTCAAATACGAGACGACTTGCGCAAGGAAACCGACTCCGAGTATCAGGTATTTGATCTCCCGCGTAACTCAAAGATCGCGCGTTCCCCCGCTGTATAACTCGTCTATACGTAGCAATTTCTTTTCGTTGCGACAGGTTGACGTGCGCGTATACGACATGGGAGACCCGCAACTATCGTCCGTGACGACCGTGCCGGTCTACGTGCGTCACGTGGCGACAGTGCCGCCGGAGATCGGTTTAGGCTTCGCCGAGAACTCGTACAACGTTGAGGTACCTGAAGATGCGGGCGACAATACGTTAATAAAGATAATCACCATCATCAACAGTCACGCGCACGACACCACGCCGCTTAAGTGTGAAATTTATAGCGGCAATGAGGACGGCTTGTTCGAAGCAAATGTCACGGAGGAGCGGAATTGCGCGCTGAGGCTGAAGAAGGGCGCGCTGGATTACGAGACGACGGAATTTTATCAGATAAAGATCAAGTTGGAATCGCTCTCGGGTCTTTTAAACTCGGGTAGAAACACGACGATGGTGAGATGCGACAAATACGCGAATTAATGTCTAATTGCGTATTTTTAAACGCATAAATTTTTCTAAATAGAATAAAATTGTATAGCCACTAACATAAAGTGGCACTTACATTAGAAATTAAAAGAAACTAAAATATATTTGAAGACATCAAAAAATGATTAAAAAGAATTTAATAATCCACCTTATTACATATTATCTACAGATATTACTCAAGTATTAACATTTAAATTAATAATCTCCATGTAATGAGGTATTTAATTTAAATATATGTCAAACGGACTTTTTCTATCTCTGGCTGTCGCATTTTAAACAAAACTTATCTGTGAATTATTAAATATATTTAAAGATAAAAAATAAATACTACCGAGGAGTTTTTTTAACTCGCTGCAGCTTTCGTTCTATTTTTGTTAATGATAAAAATATGTTTGATTGCAGGTGAAAATCCAGGTGTTGGACGTGAACGATAATAAACCCGAATTTATTTTCCCGGAGGGGAATCAGAAACTCTCAAGGGGACGTTACTTCGCCGCGATTCCACGTATCGCGCAATTCGCATCCGCCGTTATACAGATAAAGGCCCACGACAAGGACAACGGCAAATATGGTAAACTGGAGTATAAAATTCTGGAAGGACGAGGATCTGGCTACTTCGCCATCGATAGCTCTACTGGCATAATCAGAACTACAGCGACGTTCGACCACGTGGATTCGTCCGAGCTTCCCTTCAAGTTTGACGTTCGCGTGCGCGATAATCCCAATTCGACTAGTAACTATAACTCGATTGTCGCGTCGGTGATTGTCAATCTGATCGGGGAAGAGAATTTAATGATCCTGGTAGTGCAGGACGCGGCGCCGGACGTTCTGCAAAAAGAAGCTGACAAGATATCGAACATAATCGAAGAGATGAGCGGCCTGTTGATCGGCATTGATAGAGTCGCAGTGAGAAAGATTCTCACAAAGAACGGCACCGTCGAAATGTTTCCGCAGGATTCCGATGTCTGGTTCTACGCGGTCGACCCGGATACCGAAGCCATATTGAATAGAAACAGCTCCAAAATACAGAGGTATGTTTTAAATTACAAGATAAAAAACGACAAAAAAGTTTCATCGCATAATTGGAATTTTTCTAAAATTTATTCCAACAATTTTTGAATTTTTATATTAGTGGAGAAATATGTTGAATGTTTAAATTCTTATCGTGGCGTTATTTTATAGCCTGCTTTTATAGTTAGATTATACGCAAGAGCCGCGGGGTTACCTTGCAGTTATTTACGGAACAGAAGTACATGTTATCGCTTGCAGTGCTCGTGCTGCAATTAGCATCTCGGTTTAAAACAATGCTTTGTTAGATATTTGTGTAAATAGAATATTATTTTGTTTTATATTTATTGTCTTAAAAATTATTAAACTATAAAAAATCTTTAATTTTTACATCTATTTTTTTTAAATAAGATCTAATAATTTTTGCAATTGCAGTTGCATTAAATTCTTAGTAAATATTTATAACACAATTTATAAATTAAATTCGTCAGATATAAATAAAAGTTCATCATATTGATAATAGAAGATATATGTATATATATATATGTATCTCATGCGAATATCGAAAGGTCAATATTTAATTACGTCGTGACATTCAACCGTGATTAAAAGTACTGATTGCTTGATAGGTCGATTATGGATAAGTCGGCCATGTCGAACATCACTTTTGATGTATCTACGTTAGTTCGAGCGAACGCCATCGACATTCATGCACCAGTAATGCCGCCAGACGCGCCGGTGCGAACGCAAACGGCAGTCGCGTTCAGCGGCGAAGTGTTTCCATATGCGCTAATTATCATAGCCTGTGTAATTCTAATCCTCGGCATCGCCGGAATCATCTACATATGTGTTTCTTGGTCCAAGTAAGTCATGTATAATCTTAATAGAATAATTCATAAATGGATTCGGAAAATTCAACTATAAAGGAGCTACAATATAAGAATATAATAATGACTCATTAAAAAAATGTAGCATAAATTAAAATTAGACTTTTATAAAAATGTGAAAAGTTACTCAGGCAAAAAATAGATACTAACTGAATATAATTAATTATGATAATAAAAATATAATGAGGATTTTCTAGATAATAATTTGTGTTTGGAATTTTTTTGCCAAAGTTTATATTGTAGCTTCCTGTTTATTAGATTGCACGTTTTTTATATGTTTAATCGATAAAAATAAAGACTGTTACATATTCGCGTACTTGTGTACGATATACATGTATCGATCCAGAAACGATTTGAACTGTTATTACGATCTCAGTTGTTATTACAATCGCATGGGAGAGTTGCTTTGCAAGTGTGAATATTCATTCGACTCGTGGAGCGCGCGCGATGCAAATTTATACTGCTCTTTATTGCCTCTATTAGCTTTAATTGCGGCTTCCGCTTCGCGTATCTCCGTATAAACTTATTACATCGACGTTACGATCGTTATCATAAATAATTTTTCCGGGGTGTTTACACGGTGTGAAATATGAAACCTTTCTTGGGTTCCTCATCGTGGAAATATACTTGTGACGCAGGTACAAGGCATATAAAGAGCGTATGCAACGCATGTACGTGGTGCCGCGGTACGATCCCGTCTACGTGGAACCCAATCTGAAAGAGTACGAGACGCAGGTACTTCAAATGAGCGTACCAGTAGACGACAACGACAGTTGCAACGATTTGCAATTGGATTTCAGCAACAAGAATCACGCGTTCAGCCTGGACAACGTCAGTTATATCACCAAAGATCACGGAGACAGTACTGGTAATTTGAAACAAAATTTATACAAATCGTTTTTATGAAAGAATTTATAAATAAAGCAAATTATGAAACCTGGAATATTGTAGGTTTTTTTATAAATTCATTCTTTTAATAAAAAGTCCATGTTTTTTTTATAAAACACCGTCCTACAAAAATTTATTGTTTTATAAAAAGATTAAACATTTTATAAATGGAGTAAAATTGCCAAAAATTTATCAAAAACCTGCAACATATATATTTTGTCCTATATTATTTTATTTATTTTCTGCACAATACCGCAATTTGACGCTAAATCCAAAGTATATGTAGCGAGCTTGTGTGTTCTGTTTAAGGACAACAAAGTCCTGTTAGCTCGGAAGCGGCTACTACGGCGCGCGCGTCCAGTATCGCCGGTAATCACGGCGACACCAATATCCATTCCCTGAGACGGTCCACCCTGGGTCGAAAGAATCACAGCGCGAGCAACACAAACACTTTAAACAATCGCGACGCAACGCCGGTATTGAATCCCCTGTACAATCACGGCGGAGACCTACTGAGCCCTAGTCCGTCCAACGACAACGTCACTTTCCGAGAGAGAAAAGATTATTCGCATCTCGGATTCACGTATCTCGGCGAGCAAAGCCCCGTGGAGACCACGACGGAATTGTAAGTCATATGATTCGACAATATTCGAAGACTGTCACTGAATTTATGTATTCGAAAGAGAAAAGAGAAAGGTATATAACATCCCATATTTTCTATTTTGATACCGTATACACATACACACACACACACACACACACGAATAAAATGTAACTGTGATGGACGTAATATTTTTTTATATCAAAGTTTTATCGTACTTGTAAGATATTGAAATGTTCAAGATCTGAAGTTTAATATAATCTCGCGCGGAGAAATCATATCGGCGAGTGGCATCTCGCGTCATGTCAAGAACCGACATTGCCTGGTTTTTGTCCGCTCCGCGGGACGAGCGGTAAATCTCTTTGCATTTAACACATACATACATAGCGCACGGCGACGAAAGGCTTCTGAATAATCGATAGCACATATCGAGCGCGTATTTTTTTCCAACATGCTGAGCAACCCCAAAGCGGCATATGATGAGCACGTGAAAGCTTATAAATAGTTGAATAACTTGGTGCCTATATATCCTTCCTTTCATATGTCATCTTCTGAATGTGTACCGATGCTTGCATGCTGATTCCGAGCGCGCAATGCATGTGCGGAATTCCCGGCGGAATACATTCTGAACGAGTTACTCCGCATGTGATATCCATAAAAGAGAGCAGAGTGATATAACGTTCAGATACAACGCGTGGCGAAACGAGGCCGTGAAAATATCGCGCGCGCAAAAGACGAATGAAGGCGCCCTTTTCGACTACTAGCCTTTCTGTCTGATTTATTTTCGACTATTGCATTTTTTACGATGGAACCGATGATGCTTTGTCAATGAATTGTGAAATTACAATTACTTACATCGCCATCGAAATCGCGACGTTGACTAAATTATTGTTACGCGTCTGCGACAGCAAGCGTAATGCGAGAATGTTGTTGTGCCCTAATCGAGTCCCTTCGAAATCAATCATTTCGAAGACGTTACATATTCTGCGGAGACCCGTGCGAACCGAATCGCACATCCACATTTGCGTTTCATGTACATTTTAATCGTAGAGAATACAAACGCCACTGCGGGTCGAAGCGTCCAACATAGACTTAAGATCACGTTGTAAGTTCGTGCGAACGGCGTGTATTTGTGAGTGCATGTCTGCGCGAGTTTTTTGTCGGCTCGCGACTCTGTAAATGATCGATCCCGATCGCACTGTACTATAATACCTGTTTATTTATACGCTCGCGTTTGCTCATGTCACTGTATTGTAATCATAATTAACTGAGGGCGATAGTGCATATTTAATATGCAAATATCGCGAGTCGCAGGAATACTGTAAAGTTTTACGACGAATATTACGTTTCTAATTGCGACCACTCGCTCATGTTCACACGATCGTATTGGCGGTAATTAATGACTGCTGTGTGTATGCCGGAAAATGCGTCATCGACGTGTTTATGACATGCACGAATCATCCGGCGCGGCACAAGTAGTAGCGGCACGTACTTAATCAGACACGCGTAACTGTCCTCTACGACGCTATTCAACTTTGTATATTGAGTATAAGCCTGCGAGAGGATGTCGGGTGAAATGGCGTTGAAAGGAATTAGCTATGATACGACTTGATTGAATGCATATCTCTAGTCGTATAGCGGGCCATTCCACTGCCGTACAATTTCTAAGTTGCGTTTTACACTGAAATAATATCTGTGTACGTGTTACAAGTGTTCTTCGATGAAAACTTTTACTCATAGTTGTATAATATTTAAGCGCGAATTCTGTAAAAAATTGTTAATACCTAATAATAAATTTATTATATTTACATAATAACGACTTGTTTTTAAATATAACACGTCACACACTATGTTTTCCCTTTGACAAGCAATAAAGCTGCTGCCGAGTTATGTAAATATTAAATTCCGCATAATTCGAGCTTATTTAAGTTTCCACGCAGTTGAATTAATAGCAGTTTCGTCTAATTGTCGCATAAATCTTTCCTGTTTGTTTCACACACGTGGCAATAAAATCTATAAAATATATTAAATTTTGTTTATGTAAAATTCATAATTCGGATGCATTGCATGCAAGATTGTCTTGCACGAAATTTTATTTGGCACGTTTCTTACGCTCGAAAAAAAGAGCTACAGATTATATCGCAGGATCGTTATCGCAATTCGATTTGCTATTCGGCTCTGTATACGCTAGATTCAGCTCAAGAGAAATCGGAGATGGCTATAGCAGCTTAATTAGAACGGTTATAGCGCTTTAATCAGAATGCAGGTTACTATATATTTCAAACTATCGTACGATAAATAGCTCACTCACACTCGTCACGAGGGAGAAAATATGAGCGTGTTGGTGAGGCCCGAACTCGACGACGGGATCGTTCTGCTCGTAACGGGCGGGGATCAAGTATTCTCGTTGATAGAGCGTCGGCGCCGCGGCGACGGCGGCGGCGGCAGGAGCACGCAGACGCATCTGGACCGATGCGTGACGTAGGAACGCGAGAAACGGGAGACAAAAGTCGGAATCCGGAGGCTTTGGTCGTTCCGGCTCCGCGCAGACGACGCTCAGCCTGTTCGCGGTGGTGACGGGCACTTTTACTTGTCACCGAGACTTAAGAACATATTTCGATCCGTTTTGCAAGATAAAATACATCGAGAAGAGTGGGAGCGTAAACGCTGTACGTTCCATCGATTTTCTGCTATCGACAAGTAACAAGCGGGTGCGTCCGCCCTGCTCTCGCTCGCTGTACCGTACGGACGCGACGTCGTGACGCCCGCGATACGAAGCGCCGCGAAAAACGGAGTATCAGGATGGCCGAAGCGCGATGATGTATCGTACGAGAGTCGTAAACCACCTGTGACTCGGAATCGACTCGGAAGTGCGAGCCAAAACGGGAGTGATCTTTGAAAATTATGGATGAGCGTTTGTATTTGTGATTTTGGTGGCAATTGTGCGCAACATTGTTTGTTACAAAACGTAGGATAGACTGTGCAATTGTGTGATAATTACGGGAGTGTTCAACAAAATATCAAGAGGACATCGTTATTCAGTAGAGTAAGCTAACTTGTTATTGACAGGTAATGTCTGCCAGCTGTATAGGATGTTATTGTATTATTATGGAACTCTTGTGCTTAGTAGTTATAATGCTTGCATTAGTAGCAATATTTTTTTGACTTTGTCCATATTACATTTATATAAATAAAGAACTTATGAAATTATTTATAATATGTAGAAAACTACCCTTTATCTTTCTTGTTTCTGCTAATATATTTAAATTCCATTCAAAGTAAGTTTAAACTTGGAAATTTTACCTGCTGAATGTTTTATCTCAAAAAATGTCAGAAATAATAAAATAGTACTTTTTAAAAAAGTTTCAAATATATGATAAAGAATATTTTCAAGTTAACAAAATGAGAAAAAGGAGATAGAGTTCTGAATATTTAAAAATGTCTTTTACTTCGCGTAAATCCAAGTCGATATTTAAATTCAGCTGTCACCAACTTTTTACAGAGTAATCTATTACAGATTAATCTATTTTGTATTATCTTGATACAATAGTGTTTGAAATAATATAAATTGTAAATCCGAAAATTATATAAAATTAATTACACATCTAACAACGAGGATATCCGCCGTTCAATCACACATATAACAACGAGGATATCCGAATCAATGCCAGATATTTATCGTTTATACACACATAATAATCTTTTTCAATTAATATTGTGAAACTGTGAGCACATTATGTGAGATATTAACATCTCACATAATCACAGTCTCACAGTTTTTGACCTCAATCAATCACAATTTGTCTTTTGGACAATTATTAAGTTTGACTAAAGATGGTAAAATATTGACCGAAACATTTATGTATTATGTATTAATAAAAGAAGACTGTCATAAGCGATAAATATCTGGCGTTGGCTCGGTATCCTCGGTGTGTAATTGATTTATTAATACGAGTCAATATATTTTGTTATGTGATATACTAAATTAATTAATAAAGAAATGGAAAATTTAATTATTTTTGTAAGTTTTCTATAACATAATTTTTCAATAAGTTTTCACGATATTTATTACGTGCTTACTGAGCTTACATCTAGTCATTATTATATTTGCAGATTGATGACTAATTGGAGAATCAAGGATAACAAACATGAAATACTTAAAAGTCACATTATTTACGTTCAATGCATTAATATGGGTAAATAATATGCATGTAACATTGTAAATTAATTCTGAAAATAGCGATATTCGCTTAGTCAGTGTTTGAACTATAAATACTTCTCGCGTAATTCTGTATTCCAGAGCAAAACAATTGCAAACAATGATGTTTCAGACATCTTGTGTAGCTAATCCGGTCTGATTAAATTTCACCTCTACGAAGAAAGAGAAAATTATTTAATTTCATATGATGCTTGAAGAGATGAATCTCTGAGATACAGACTTACTATCTCGAATTTCGCGATCAGTGAACAATCAGACCTGAAATTATTGCGTGGTCCTTTCTTTTGGCAGTTGGCTGGCTGCGCCTTACTCGCTCTAGGTGCGTGGCTGCTCGTGGACCCGAGCAAAGACCACATCTTTAATCTTTTCACATCTGACATCGAGTCGCACAAGTTTATTTATGTGGTATCTTGCACGTTGCTCGGGTTCGGCTCCATCGTACTTTCGATGGGCTTCTTCGGCTGCCGCGCCGCGCTACGCGGAAATCAATGCACCCTCGTCAGCGTGAGTAAAACGACATTTTATTGCCTCCCCTCGGCGCGTACCGTTATAGACGTCGGGTCAAGGTCGGGTGATGTTCTTGTCGTCGTTTTTCCGCAGTACATGGGCATGATGGTCACGCTTATCATCGGGGAACTGTCAACGGTGGCCCTCGGCGGGTTCGTGACTTTTCGAGTCCTGTCGAGTCTGGAGGAAAGGCTCACCAGCAAACTGGCGGTGGATTACGGTCACGATCCGAGCAGCGATATTCCCTTCAGTCACAGTCTGGACTTCGCGCAGTACAAGGTGTCACATTAACAGGGTTGATCTAGCAATTGCTCATCGATCTTTACATGGCATGTCTTAAAAAAACACTCGCTTTTTCGATACAGCTACTTTGACAATAATCTCGATTTTTGCTTTAATATAAATCTTGCCTAATTCGTTCGTACAATTTTCCAACATTCGATATCAACCGACCCTTAGTCTTTTATATATTTTATAGCCAAGATTATAATTTTTGTTTATTTCCACTGATAATCGCATGTCGTAATAATCTCTGGTGCACGGCATTTTTTAACGACTAAGTAATAATGCAAAATTTGGTTTATTTAGTATTCTGTTTAAAAAGAAATTACGTCTGATTTTTCTGGAGCATGCATTATGCGCGAGATCCGCCTAAATTCAATTATGTTTCATGCATGACGCGGTCGCTTGCAACGCTTTGTCAGAAATCATAAGCCTTGCGAGGCATTTCGCGATGGTTCGAAGAGCACATGGATGATTCCATTGCAGTTTAATTGCTGCGGAATACACAGTGACAAGGATTACAATGGCACAGATTGGTGGAGAGATAAACAAGTCTCAGGGAGCAGAAACCAAGTTCCCCTTACGTGTTGTGTTCTCAAAAATAGCGAGGTACTTTATATATTTAAATTAATCGATCTTAAAATAATATGGATTTTCGAATTAGTTATAGACTGAGACAGCTAATAAAATATATGTTTTGAAAGCACATACACACAAGTTTATATATATATCACGCGATATCATTATTTATATATCACATGCTGTTTAAAATAATATAAGTAATAAAAGTTTATGGCGCAATGTTTTTATTGTTTTCTAAATAATCTTTATTTTTGTGGAATTATAGCATTTCAAACTGTTCGTTAATCTTATTTTTTATTGTCTATCTAAAATCTGTAATCAATTTATCATGGTTTACGATTCATTAGTTAAAGCGAAAGGTCCTCTTTAACAATTTAAACAAAGCCTATTTTACAGAATAAAAATACTGGCAGCCCGATGAGCGTCGTTTCAAGGGTGTTTCACAAAGATGTAAGTAAAATGTCAGAGATTTTACATATGCATGAACTTTATGAGAGTAATCTTTTGTCGCTGACAGAATGAGAAACCATGGCTACGCCCGCAGCCAAAGGATGAGAGCGCGTGCCAAGTAAAAGATGAGGAGGGTCACGAGGGATACAGACACAAAGAGGTTTGCTTTTTATCAGGAAATATCATATATCACTATATACCACACATTGCGTATTCAAATGACACGATACGTTTCTAGGGTTGCCTCGCAAAAGTCACGAATTGGTTTCAATGCGAAAGCTTCACGTTAGTGTTTCTTGGCATGGCATTGGCGGGAATACAGGTAAATTATTAATAAATTATATTTTGAGTGGAATACCAAAATCATTTTTGGAATATACTTTTTCACGACTTTTTAAAAAAATACGTTTTGATACGTTTTAACTTTTAGAACTTGTTGAAATTGTATACAGTTATTTAATAGATAAAATATCATAGACTTATTGAATTATGTCTTTTAAGCAGTTTTCTGTTTTTGATCTTGTATATTCTACGAGAAAAGGAATAATCGGGACGATGTATTTCAGACATTCGGAATAATAACGTCCGCCTTCCTCTGCCGAACGGTAAGAGATATGGAGGAAGAATGATACATGGTTCGTAGTCTCAATGAAGTGAAAAGAATGTCGTGGCATGCTCATTCTATACATTGATAGAAGAAAGAAGGTTTATTTGTGTGATATTCTTGTGTATCGCCACTTGGAAACGTTTCCGAAATTAATTTCAGTCTTGTGAATCTGGGCAATGAGACTACGAGTTTCCGTGAAAAGAAAGTAAACTGAATTTTTGTTCTACAAAGTGTTTAATCATAAAGAATTTCAAGACAGGATAGCGATAAGTGCTGCATGCTTGATTTTAGATTATGCCCGTAATCTTTGCGCGCGTTTTGCTGTGAGTCAGCAATAATGTGACCAACAGACTCCACTGTACAATATACGCGTCTTTATCGTGTTCAATTTGAGTACTAACAAATCGCAATGCTACAATAACGTCTCATAACAACTACGGCAAAAATCGACGAACAACGCAATTTGTCTTGTAAATACATATATGCCAAGTGTCAAGAAGATGTTGAACGAATGGATATCTACAGTGCGCACGTGAGAATTTTCGAGTCCTTTTATTTTCTGGAAAATTTACCTAATTCAAGCACAAATAATTTTTCGCACAAAGTTATACAAGCATTTTTGAAAAGTATCATGATTTTAACGAATGAGATTTGTATGAGTGTATGTAGGTGTGATTGGGGTTGATCGGCATATTCTGTTAAGAGAAATTTTATAAAGTAGCGTTAGTATTCAAAAAATATATTAAAACGTCGTTCGTTTTAATTGTACATAAGTTTTCAATGTATTGTTTAATCGATATAGATTTTTAGCTATAAATATACATTGAGCTAAAAAAAAAATAGAAAGGATTATTAACGTTTATGATAATATTAAAGTAATCGATTTCTTTGCTAAGAACTTAAGAAAAATTGTAAGTAATAAGTGTCAATCAACCCCAGTTTTTATAATAATAATATGTGTATGTTAGAATTCTTATAGATATTTGTCATCCATCTCAGAATGAGGATGAGCTATTATATACACATATATTATATATATGCATCAGTGTGTAAAAATATGTCATATATATTCTAACCAAGGGAATAATTTCCTCTAATTTTCGAAAAATGTATTACGATAACTTGTGCCAAAGACATTTATTGTATAATAAGTGACAAAAATTTTTAATATATTTTTATTTTCTCAAAATAGTTGGCAAGAAATGTCCTGCGTGTTTATAGAACATACCTTAATGATAATAAAGATGTTGTTCTCTGTGTAAATTCATTGCTTACTTTAGATTTTCACGAGCTGTAATAACAAGCATTCCGTACATCCGCACGTACTTCATTAAAATTTTTAATGATTCAAAACTAGATTGTGACGGTACTCAAAATATGAATTGTTTGTTATTTATATATGAATAAAATTATATTCAATTTGATTGCTAGATTCAGTTTAACATATATGACATAGATACTTTCCAAAATTAATAGACACATATATAAAACCACAAGATTTCCTTATATACTCGATCACGTAAATCATAAAATAAATATAAATTAATTACGATAAGCTTTCTTCATAAAAGTAAATGTCACGATCGTTCAATGGTTGAACCGGTCGACAATTTAGAAGTAACGGACCATCTACTGAACAAATTTTTCGAAATTGCTCCACCTACAGTGAAAGATTACATTGATGATAATAAAATTGGCGACAAATATTTTACTGATTCGAACGTATCACTGTATACCTGCGATAAAGATATAGCGATTGGTTCTTGTTGAACAATCCACGTGACAATTTCACTGCAAGGCGGTTGACTAAGAGAACCGCTATAAGTATAATAATCTCTGTCAAAAGGTGAGAATACCCATTCCAGCGGAAAAGGAGGTATGTAAACCCTCGATCCCGGGCAAGTAACGCGCCACAAATTGCTCACAATGTGATCCAGATAAGGATTATCCGCATTATTTATCTGTAGCGTTGTTATAATTAATAAGATTACGATAAATAATTAAGTTTAACAAACGCACTATGTTCTATTTTATGCGTATATATCGGATTGATGAGATATTCATTACGTCTTAACAAAAATCATACTTGAAGGAAGAAGGAAACAATCACTATTCCGTCTTTCGCGCCTAGAGCGATCGCGTCTGTTGGCGATTTAATTCCACGCTTCATGTGAACTACTTGTAACTCCATAGGGAAACGAACATAATTCAAAGTGTGTTCGCTGCCCTCTTCGTTAGACGGACCCCAGTGAAAAAGAACGTTAAAGAAATCGTATGTATCGGTCAAAGGACCTCCTTGCAGCTGCGGCCATGTATTACTCGTCCAGAATCCTCGCAATATAACTATACATTGATATAAAACGTAATGTAGAAGATAGTTGCATAATTTAAAGTAATATTCTTTGTTTTATGCTATTGTTATTGTAAACATTTTCTAAATTTATTATTATCTTTTTTATTTATTTGCTTGGTTAGAGAAAATTTGCATCTACCGGTATGACCGTCGTTCGCGATATTCATCGATAAAGGTCCGCTACTGTAATTACTCCATAGAAGTGGTTCAGACGGTTGCACCACTACGGCGAGCCTTGTGGTGATATTGATAGGTGATTGATTGCTACCGGTGCTCTCGGGATATAGATCTTTCCAAGTATGAGGACCGTTCTGATGAGCGTATCCGAATGAGAAAGCGGGTGCGCGATAATCATTTTCTATCCACGCGAATAATTGCGTCCAATCCAAAATTTCAGTTAATAGCAACACTAAATCGAAGAAATGAAAATTTTAGATTTGCGGATACATGAATATTATAAAACTCTATCTTTTATTCTTATTTAATTGACCATCTGTGCCGTGATATGTACCTATTAGAAGAACGCTGCTACACGCAACCATACATTCCGCTAACGATAAATCCAACATTTTTGCAATAATTTTTCACTTGACATTTGAATAGTCAAACCTCTGGCTTGTCAAGACTGATAAAAAATTTCTGGCGTAATAAACGTTTATATGAACGATCTACTTGAGATTTTGGCCTTCATGCTGCAATGATTTCTATTAATGACACTTACGGAGATATGAAATTATGTGGCACGTCAAATGACAATTTACCGGAAATTTATAAAGCTCACTTCAATTCATGAGAATAATGTGAAGCTAATCCCGCAGTTCGTAAATATGAAGTAATTTGAAACATCGTAATACGTAAGCATTTTTCTATCATATCAGATTGCTAATCACTTACAGCTTGTTTGCAGTAACACTATCAATCAAAATGATTGCAAGTATCATATTTTACTTGAACATAATACACACTTAATTTCATATTTCACTTTCTGCTCAAAAGCTCGATATTTCCGTCGTAATGTACAAATGTCATCCAAATCCAAAAACGTACAATCACGTAAATAATTTATTCAATTTGTTGTAGATAATTAAAATTTAATTTAAAATATAGTTAACGTTTACTTTATAAATTTTATTTTATTCCTATAAAAAGAAAAATTATGTACAACGTCATCGTCGGGTTTGCCGAAATGGCGACAATCTCCAATCGATATCAGTCGCGTTGCCGTATGGACCAAGAAATATCCACCCTTACTTTTGACTAATTATTGGTCAGATGATGGCACTGCAAAACTTACAAACACTGGAAAAACAGGTTTTCTTTTCCTACATCCAGCACTAATTAATACATAATGTATTTACTATTTAATAATTTTTAGTTAACGTCGAGCTGGCGGACAGAAAAATGCCAATAATGCGTGGCGGCCCGTTGAAGGACGATGAATATCAATTTATGAATGTACAGTTTCGATGGGGTCTATCCAATTCTCAGGGCGCGGAACATTCTATCGATAATACTTGGTTAGAGAGAGGAATTTGATATTATTCGCGCAATAAAATTTGATAATAATCACGCAAAGCGTCAGGAATATATTAGTCACATTTTTCATTTAAATTTAATTTAAATAAAAATAAAAATTTAATTTTAATCTATATAAATTTCGTTTTTGCACAGTTAATATAATTTCTAATGAAATGTGTGTTTAATAAGGTATTCGATGGAAGCACAAGTAATGCATTGGAATACGCGTTATGGGTCAATAGAAAAATGTTACGAAAAACCTGATGGTATTGCAATGCTATCCTATCTTATGCAGGTACGATAATAACCGTAAATTAAATAAACCATGTTGGAATTAAATTTTGAAAAAAACTGTATTGTTTAATGACTGTCCTTTCATGCAACCATTGCTGCAAGTAATTTATATAAAAATGTATTTTAATGATAAAAAGGTCGTTGGCTGTTCTGGAATTCCGGACAATCCAACGTTTACTCCGATTACAGATAAACTTTTGGGAATCAAACGGACGAATAGCATCGTGAATATTACACCGGGTAATTTTATAATGTGAGATTATTTTTAGCCGAATTGGTCAATCAATCATAGAATGCCTAATTGTCAGTGCAGCATTTCATTTCTTATTTTTCTAATAACCAGTAAAAGTAATAATAATTTTGATAAATTAGCACATCTTTGCTTTCATGCTTTTGTAATATCCATATATTTTATATATTTTCGGTTTCTAGAAGAAACTTAGATATTAAAACTAGAAAAAGTGTTTAATTTTTTTTCTTTCTTGTTCCTTACTTATTGAATATGCAATGTTAAATATATCTCAGCAATTCACAACTACATTCTATCAAAAATTTTACTACGCGTGATATGATAGTAATATTAATACTTTTTAATCAATTGTGCAATCATGTTTCATTATTAGATTGCTTACGATGGATGAAGTATGCATGCATGTCACCGGGATATTATACTTATTCAGGCTCCCTCACTTTTCCTCCGTATCATGAGTGCGTTACTTGGATAGTAGTACCAAACGCGATAAGAATATCTCGCTGTCAGGTATGTGAAGAATCAAACTTTGAAAATTATACACATTACAGCTGTGAATGCTGTTAATTTATAAAAATTCATATATTACAATAGATAGAAGCGTTCAGAAGTTTATACAATTACAAATGGGAGCGTATAGTAAGGAATCACAGATCACAACATCGTCTTCATGGGAGAAGAATTTTCTTTGCACAAATAATGTGACAGCTTGATTACCAAAGAAATTATTAAGACGGCATTAAACGTATAACAAAATTTTTACATGAAGAATTATGTATTATTTTCTTGCGATCCTATCTTAAAAAAGGCGCGTAGCGCGCGCTGGTGTGTCTAGTCCACTCTTAAAAAAGGCATGAAAGATCGATACTCGAATGTATCGAAAGTATTGTTGACGCTTTTCCGCGACGCTGATTGGTTATCGCGATTATTCTGATAGTTTGATAGATTGAGAGCGAAGGTTATTTTGACGGTTATTTAAAATAAAAAAATTTATTAAAATATTTAGATTTCATAATTATTAAATTACTATAAGAAGTGCGCGCGCGTAGCGCGCGCCTGTATTGTTCTAGTAATATATAAAAAACATAAGATATAAATATAGACTGGCTAACTTCAAACATTAGTAACCTATTCAAAATTTATGTAAAAAATTTTCAATTAATATACAATGTGACATAACATAATTTTAAGGCATATTTCCATTTTGCACAAAATTTTATAGCTGTGTTGTGATAAATTATTTTCAATTTATGTAATAATGATAAATTATGCAAGAGTGGTAGGTGAGTGATGAAAAAAATTATATCGTAATAATATTAGGTTATCGTGCTTAATGTATGATTTGCATACTATATATTTTACATTGCATGCACACTAATTGCACATTTTCTGAGGTTTAGAAAAAGGTGGTCAAGCACCGATTGATTTGATTGATAAAATTGTGCAACCTAAAAAATTTCCACCCTTAATCTTAAATGGTTACTGGTTGAAAGATGGAAATGCAACTTTGTGCAATGACGGTGAAAAAGGTAATTCAATTTACCCTATTTTTAAATAATTTTGTTTACACTACGTTTATAGAACGCAATTGAATATTTAAGTTTTTCTTTGTCAGCAACAATTTTTTTAAATGGTGATAGAATTCCGTCGACGGTATTTGGGGGACCGCTTATAAATGACGAATATGAATTTCATAACGCACATTTTCACTGGGGGGAGGATAATTGTAGAGGTGCTGAACACACTATAAATGGTACTTGGTAAGGATGTATTACCCACATCCACCTATGATCAGTTTAAGATAAAAATTATTGAATTCAAATTCAATGTAGGTTTTCTATGGAATGCCACGTAGTAAACTGGAATCGAAAATATCTCACCTTTGAAGAATGTTTAAAACACCGAGATGGTCTTTGCATATTAGCTTATCTGTTTCTGGTATGGTTATTTTTATATAATTATATTGTATCTTATTTTTATCTGTTATAAATAAATTTCTTATAGGTTCAACCAGGATCTTGTCAATGGAGTAACATCAGATTTGAAAGAATTTCCGAAAATTTAAAGTATATTCAAAATGCTGGATCAGAGATAAAAATTCCGTCAAGTTAATATTCAACAGAAATTTATATGGTATAATATTTATAAATTTAATTATATTCGTTTAATTTTCAGATTCTTTATCTTGGATGCGAAAAGCAACAGAGTGTCCGAATTATTATACATATCAGGGATCTTATAATATGAGTTTTTATTATCCGGAATGCGTTACGTGGATTGTATTTCCAATCATTATTCCTATACAAGCTTGTCAAGTAAGTTATTTATGCAGAATGTATTGCAGAAAGTATTAATTAAAGATTTTGTAAAATAATTATTATTATCGCAATTAAACCACAAATATTTCACACTTGACTAATATCAGAATTTTTAGCTTAATGAATTTCGAAAACTAAAAAACAAGAAGAGCAACTTTATAAAATCGAATTGGAGAGACATTCAACTTTTACGAGGACGACGAATATTTTTAGCTGTCTCTTAACAAGCATTTATGCATTTTATCTAAAAATTAGGTGAATTATTTTAGATTTTTAAACTCTTTGTAAAAATATAACTAAAATTATTGATAAGATTTTGCAATTTATGCAAAATTTAATAATCTTTTAAATAAATTATAAATTTGTATATTATAACAACATGAGTAAATTTAAATTTATTGATTTATTGTTATTTTATTATTTTATTTTATTAGAGATATATAATCACATGTGTTATATCTCCTGTTTATTCAACTTATTAAATCTATTAAGAGAATCAATACTGGCGCAAGCTCGTTCTATCGCTTCTTCTAAAGCTTTATATATACGAGTAAATAATATTTCTCGATAAGGCTGTTTTAAGTTGGAATTTTCTTTTTCTTTTTTCACCCGTATAATTGGTAAGGATCGATCGATTAACTTTTCGTTTTGTGCTTCCTGCAAGTTATTATTGGATCTTTGCAATAAGGGTGTTGATTTTTGTCGAGCGACATCCATCGATATTACAGGCTCTATCAAACTGCTTTTCTTCGCCAATTCACTCTCATCTTCAAAAATATTCGCGAAAGCACATAACGCATTATACGCAGCGTCATACTTATTTTGAGAGATAAAGAGATCGTTTTGCAAAAGTTGCATCTTGTCAGCCAGCTCTAAAGATTCGCTGTGCTCTACATTAGTTATAATTTCCTTGATAATCGAATATATCGCCGAGTCACGAATGCAACGATCCAGATATTCGTCGATCTTTCGATAATTGATTAATTCTGCGCTTTGCGTATCATTTGAACAGCCCCAAAAGCGAAATTCAAACGCCGACAAACTCAATCTCGGTTCAGTGACGAATCGCCAGGATTCAGTAAAGATTCCGCGACTGCTATGTCGAAACCACACTTTGATCCTTACAATTTGTCCGGGAAGTATAAGTCCGTTTGTTTTATTGAAGAAGAATGGGCTGCCGTGTATCTCGAAGGACATGTTGTTTGACTGAAAGGACGAGTTTCGCCAATAATAGACAATAACGCGGTTTCCTTTATTCTCCAAGACAATCTCTTTCTCGACTCGTTCACCTATTTCACTCGAAAAAATTAGTGACCACGTGATGGAATCGATGTCTTTTGATTTTGTGTTGAATAGAGATTTTTGCCAGACAAATTCGCGATCTTGGATCTTCAAGACTATCATCTGATCGGCATCCTTGGACAACTCTTCTTCAGGCTCTGAGATAGTTATGGGAGGAATTCGTAACAATGGCTTCTTCTTTTGAAAAGAAGCGCGTCCTTGAACGATTAAAGTTGCCATTTCTGGTTTTTTGGGCAACAGTAATGCAATTTCTTCAGCCAATTCGAGTTTACGCGTCTTCAGATATTCGCTACGTTCCCAGGATTCTTTTTTGGCTTTAACCGCAATAAGATCCCGCTCCTTTGCTATTAAGTCCGGTAATCCAACCTGCATTAAATCCGGAGGAAGATTCAGATCCTTTCTTGTGGCAGTGAGCGATATTTGCGGCAGACAAGCGTTGCCGCGATCTGGCAGGAATTCGGGTGTTCTCCAAAATTCCGGTCCACCGCGATATTTATCGCCGATTACGGGTACCGGTATGGCCGCGTGTTCCATTAAATTTTTCATCTCAACGAAGGCACGAAATCTTTCCGAGGAACTCTGTAGCTGATCAGCGTGCGACCGACCGGTAGCAAATTCAATGCGGCGTGTCTGCTTCTTTCGATCGCCGAGCCATTTTTTCCAATTTACAAGACGATGATCTTCCGAAAAGACTGTATCCTTGGAGAGAGGATGATCCCTAGTTGTTACAAGTTGCTTGCTAGTCCTTTTCCAAGTTCGAGGTTTGTCTGATTTACCAATTTTCCGCGCATAATCCATTTACAAAATATTTTTTTAACTTGCAATTTCAAACGCTAAATATCTTATCTCTTTAAATGAGAATTGAAACAAATTATTATTCAAAGTATTATTCACAATTGCATTTTCCATATTAATTTTTCTTTGCTTTCTATAAAAATATATTTTGACAGTTCATATTTAAATGGTTGTCAAGGCAATATTGATCATGTGCAAAAAATATATTTTGACAGTTTATATTTAAATGGTTGTCAAGGCAATTATGATTAGCAATTTATAAATGTTTCTATGACAATTGTTTACATTTCCTCAAGCTGTCAAGTTGTATTCAAATAAAAAAAGAGTTTAAAAATATGTAAAAAATTAGGGCGTTTATTATAAATTTTTTTGCAAAATTATTTAGATATTTTTTACTTGTATATTTTTTCTTAATTTAAACAATTAGTTTATCTTGTATAAAATTCAATTTTTTATAACTTTCTTGAAAGCAACTGTTTGTTGAATGTGGAAATTTTAGGATGCAACTCTATCGAACTCACGCTGTCTTGCGTAACTTTTGCGGATATACTAGTAAAAATCTCATACAGATACACACGCGTTTTGAATAACTTTCTAGAGAAAGAATATCTAGAGAAACTAGATGCGCGAGTCGGATTTGCTGGCAAATGACTATTTCTTTCTTGTCAGATATCCGTATATCCACGATACATATCATACATACGTAAGCGCGCGATAAAAACTTATTAAGATTTTTCCTCGTCAAAACAGGCTGCTTATGTGCAAACGTAAGAAATTTTTGTCTGTTGCAAAATTTTAATAATATTATTTTAACGTCACATATTATCATACTTAATTAGATAAATTATGCATATATTTAGAGAAGAATAATGTAGATTTAGAACGCTGAATAATATATATGAATAAAAATTGAGCTTTTCGAAGCCGACAAATCGTAAAATCGGGTAT